GAGGCTTTTGCCCAGGAAGAGCCACCCAATTCCTGAGGGCTCCTCCGTGAGGTGGACCTGCCAGCTCCGGGGGCTCTCAGCCCTCCGTCATCACGTCACTCCACTCCTGATTTCTCATCCTGCCTTTGCAGAGCTTCCTTCGGACCACGGAAGTGCTTGCTGTTCCTGCACACTGGTCTTTGGACAGGCTCACTTAAAACACTGTCTTATGAACTATCCCTGATGGGCAATTTCTCCGTATGGGTAAAAATGAATGATTACAGTAAAATTAGCAGCACTCTGTGAAGCTACTGAAAGAGTCACGTTGCCACTCAATCAATAATATTTATTGGGAAAATAGTTTGTCTACTGTGTGAAATCTTACCTGCTTCTATAGTCCCCACTTGCAAATTTTAATGATTCTCCTATATTTTCAGTTCCTATACGATGCTTTATAGAAACTCAAAAGAATGTGGAGGCACAGGAAATTTTACTACATGAAACAGATCAATAATGCTCATTTAGGAAACTGGGTGGCTACAAATTGCTAGGCACTGTGCTCAGTTGGAAATAAGACGCTCCCTTCCCTGTCCCAGTGCCCAGTCTGGCGGGCAACCAGCCAGGCACACAGTGTGTCCAGGGCACAGAGGTCGGGCCGGCACAGTGACTGATTAACTCTTTGGGTGTCGGGAGGAGCAGGGGAGTCGGGGAAACATTCCAGGAGGTTTTAAAAGACCAACGCTGAGGCCATCAGACAGAAGACAGGGGAGGACATTCCAGGAAGAGAGAAGAAGAGATGACTCAAACGCACAGGAGTCAGCAGAATGGTGTGCTTGGGGAATTCCAACAGGGCAACTCTGCAGAGTCTGGGGCACTGGTGGGAGTGGACGGGGAGGGATTCAATATCACTCAGACAGAGAGTGTGTTGTGAGGTGGGCAGTAGCCCAGGCTGGACAACCCCAGTGAGCTGACCTTGGGTGCCACCGGCAGCTATGAAGCAGACACGTGTAGGGCATATAACCACAAGGACCTTCCAGTGCTTCTGTCGCCACCCACGTACACACCGTGAAAGGCAGCAGCCTTACCCAGTTTTTAACACTAAAAAATCTTTCCTCTTGAGGCCCCTTTCTGTTTCAGTGATTCTGCATTTTAAGTGGTGACTGTTGACATGCAAAAAAAAAAAAAATGTACCTTGTTAACGACGGGGAAAGCAATCAGGACCCAATTTATTTTATGAAAAGAACTGATTGTTCTTTTCCTGAAGGACATTAACCACGTTTCTCTTTAGCTGGGACAACCCTTTGTTACCTTACAGAATTGCCCATCTTGTAAGTTTCCTTGTGCGGGTTAAACGGAAGATGGCAGCTGGCCTTGTATCCTTCTGAAACAAAGTATGCCCTCAATAAATAGTTACTGACTGGCCGAGTCTATCAGACATTTGATACATTTAAAGGACGGGGATATAAGAAGCTCAAAGTTTTATGAGTTTATTACGAAGTCCACTGAATCTGACACATTCGAGAGTCTGTAGCTCCGAGCTTACACTCTGTCAACCTTCATTTATAAGAATCCACCATGTTTTTTGTTTTGTGAAAAGAATATTTTAGTGCTAACTGCTGGTAACTATTAGGTGAAGAACATTCTCTTTGAACAGCACAGTGCTTGGCATGCGGTAGAGGGATACTTAATAAATACAGAGTCAAAGAAGGGCTTATTAATAGCTTCTAGTCAAGGCCTTTGCTTCTTCAGCAACTAAACGCCTTTATTCTCGACCATTACCTTATGAGAAGTGCTGCCCAGTAGAGAGATGATTTCTCCCACGTGTAAGTTTATACCTGTCCGTATGCACCTTTGAAACAATAAGAAGAAACTGTTGAAATTAATTTTAATACTCTATTTCATTTAACCCAACATAGCAAAATGTTAGCATTTCAATATGTAACCAATATGATGTTAAAGAGAAATCTTACACGTTCTTCCTCCTAAGTCTTCAAAATTCTGGCGTGCATGTTATACTTCCCATGTGTCTCAATTCAGATGATTCATTTTCATCAGAAGTACTTGATCTGCACTGAGATTTCAGAATATTTATAGTTGAGAAGGTAGAGTTACAGATCCAAGTTTTTTTTTCCAACGTAATTTAAAATTTTTCGAGAACTGAATAAAAAAAACATCAGCTTGTAAATTGTTTAAAATCAAATCAAAGAAAAAATTCAGTTCCCTGGTGGCACTATTGACATTATCAAGAGCTGGACGGCTGCAGGCAGCTCCTGTACAGGCCAGAGCAGTTCTGGAGAACTCTGCGTCACAGGGCTGGGGGCAGGCAAGGCTGTTTGAGTGCATTTCAGTGTGTGTTCCGCTCCCACAGCTCTTATTTTTCTTCTCTTTTCTCAATATTTCATTTTCCCCGAAACCGTTATTACCCCAGCATCTTTGCTTAGAAGTCTCTAAATCAAACATGCCACACTTGGCTAATAGTCATAAAGAAAATTACCCAAAGCCTTAAAGTATCCCTTCTGTCATTTCTTCCTAGTCCCAGGCACAAGGAGCTGTCTGTGGTGACATGAGAAAACGGGGCTTCTCAGTGGTCTCACAGGTGAGCAGGGTTGTGACCACGCTGCTCTGACTCCCTCGCAGCCCTGACCCCTGCTGTTTCCAGGGGAGGACAGCTCACCTGGGGGCACACATGCCTTTTCAGAAACACAGTGACTGGCTTTAACCTAGGCAGAGGGAATTTTCATTGTAGAACAAGCCCCCAGTGGCAGGCATGAATTATTTAAATGCCTTTGGGGGGGATAAATTTGTTTCTAATCTGTTTTGTTACCCACAATCGTGGATTTGAGGTACCCATGCAATAAAGATAGATCCGATGAAGACTCTTTTTGAATGGAGCTCCACGGTCATAGAACCTTTTTAATGGGTTGATTTAAAAAATAAGTCCCCCTTACTGTTGTTAGGTAATTTTCAGTTAAGGTTTGCTGTGTGAACACAGTGTCACACATACAGGTAAGGAATTTGCCCTTGACTTTTACTGTATGCCCTAAAGTCTTGGGAACCACCGTGCCCGGATTCTGGGCTTCCCCTTGAGCCCTGTCTCTGATTAGCCAACAGATCTTACAGGTGCACATCACAGTGACCTTCTGTACACCATTGTCCTGGTGCATCTGTGATCGTGAGTAAGTCAACTGAGTGGACTTTCGTAAAGGTAACTATGCTTGCCTGACTCACACAGACATAGCAGGATATGCCCATGGGCCCTGAAAAGCAAAATCCAAGCTATCAGCTGAAGCAGTGATTTACTTTCCAAAGGGGTGGAACACCCTTGCACTGTCGCCTATTTATTCCCAGGGTAGGACGGGCACTGTTGTCACCCACAGTGCCCTGGGTCAGCTGCAAGCGGGCAACCCTGCTGCCGACTCCGTGAGCAGCCCCTGTGGGCTGGCATGGCTCCAGTTCATCAGAAAAGCACCGGCTCTGCCCTGGCAACCCCTGCGCATGCTGACGATTCGGGGTGCCCGCGGAGCTGCAGGAGCCTGGCATTCCCAGCCGCACACTGCAATTCAGTTTGCGGCCGGGCGGTTCCAAAGCCTGAACTGTGTTTGAGGAGGAGTGCTCAGCACCAAAGGGATCTGCTGATTTCATTTGCTTTGTGAAACTAGGAAATGTTTCAAGATACAACGCTACAGAAATAAATGTATAGATGGTATTCTAGAAGTAAATACATACTAAATGAGAGGGGTTTTTTTTCTTAAAGGATCTCTGTATCTGCTATTTTTGGGTCTTTCAGAACATGATGTAAGGGTCAAGTGTTATTTTCTCAGAAACCACCTTTAATAAGTCAGGATAAAAGCCATCTGATGTAGGGCTTCTTATTCACAAATGGGTGAACTTCAGGGGAGAGGTGGAATTGCCCATCTCGAGAATTGCACTGGAAGCTTATAAACGGAATCTATCCCCTTCTGTCTGTTACCCCTTTTATCTGCCTGCCCATCCACGAAAGGAAGTGAAAAAGAAATATCGGAAAGATGGGGGAAGATGATAGGAAGGCTTTTGTCCTAGAGGCTGAGTGTGCAACACGTAAGCTCTCGAATAAGACAGAGGCAGCAGCACAGCTTTTGAAGGGGCAGCCGGGCCCCTTACACAGGGACGTAGCAGAATGTGGGAGGCGGCAGGTGGGTGGGAGGGTGAGGAAGCCACCAGAAAGGTGGGACGGGGCCCAAATCAGACACTGCTCTCCTCTGTCCCTAAACAAGCTTCGCTAAGTGACACTTCCTTGTGTCCCAGGAAGTGACGATCAGCCGTGTAGACGCTGTGGCTCCCGGCTGTCACCTACTCCGGGGGCGCCGCGGTGGGCACCGGGTGACCTCTTCCACGGCCCCCATTCCCAGGGAGGCCGCGCCGTCCGGGCCACCTGGGCGAGCTGCCTGGCCTGAGCCCCTGCCGGCGTCTCTAGGGTCTTTTGTGCCCTGTGCCCAACTATTAGGGTGGCCCTGACATCACCGGCTCCCTGCAGAAGGGGACCGAGCGAGGACTCGGGGACGGCAGGGGTTCAGAAAGCTGGGCACGGGGTCGGAGGAAGGTTTAAGGATGGGAGTCCCGGGGTAGCAGGTCGGCGGTGCAGGAGCCGGGGTCCGATGCACCCAAATCTTCCCCAGCGACAAAAAAGGGGCCAGCGTCCCGCCTCTTCCCCGCAAAACCCAAACACCAAGAAAAAGGAAAGGCACCCGAGGCACTGAGACGCCCGTACTCGGCGGGTGGGGCGCGCGGGACGAAAATAAACGGGGACCGCGCACTAGCGAGCGCGGGAGGGGAGGAGGAGGCGCCCCGCATCCCTAATGAGGGAATGAATGGAGCGGCCCCGCGGCTGGCGCCCGCCCACCCGCCGGCCGCCGCCAAGTGCCTCTGGGCGCCGCGCGCCGCGCCCGCCGCTCCTCCCGGCTCCGCGGCGGCGGTAAGCGCGGACTGAGCCGGGAAGGGGCCCCGCGCGCGGCTGCGGCACGGCCGGCGGGCGCCGCTCACGCAGGCGGGGCGCGGGGCGCTGTCAGGGCCGCGGCTCCAGGCCCCCAGCCGCGCTCGCCCGGCCGCGATCCGAGGCGCGAGTTCGCCTTCAGCCATGGCCCCGGGAGCTTAGCGGGGCCCGGACGCCGCCCCGGCGCCTCTACCCCGCGGCGCCGCCGCCGCCCGCCCGCGCGGAGCCCTCCCTCGCCGCCACCCGCGTCCCCGGCGCCGCCGCGGGCCGCCGCCCCCTCCCCGCCCTCCGCGGCCTCGTCCGCTCTCCGCGCCGGGGCCGCTGGTGGCACCGCCCGCGGCCTGCGGGAGCGCTGCGCCCGGCCTCGGCCCGCGCCTGCGCCCCCGGAGCCCGCACCCCGGCCCGGCCCGCGAGACCCCGGCCCGACCCCGCCGCCCGCACAAAATGTCGGCCCGGACGCCATTGCCGACGGTGAACGAGCGGGACACGGAGAACGTGAGTATCGGGCCGCCCCCCGCAGCGGCGCGAGCCGACCCTGCTGCGACCCCCGCGACCCCCTGGGCCCGGGCCGCCGCGGTCGCCGACCGCCTCGCGCGCGCCCGCCCGCCCCTCGCCCCCTGCTCAGCCCCCGGGCTGCACCCGAGCCTCCGGCGGGAGGCCGGGGGCTGTGCGCCGAGCGCTCCCCGCGGAGGTGGTCCTGCCGGCGGGGACGGGGCGGCGGAGGGCAGAGGGGCGGGCCAGGCAGAGTGGGCACCCGGCGGTCGGACTGCGCCCTGCGGGTCTGCAGCGCCGGGCTGGCTCCGGGTCACAGAGCAGCCCGCTCGCTCTTTCCTCCCCCCGCGCATTTCGGGCTCTTTGAACCCCTGGCACCCCCACCCCGCGCCTCCCGCGCCCCGCTCTGCCCCATGACGCTGCTTTTTGGAGCATCGTGTCCACGCGGGGGTCAGGGATGGAAGGGGCGAGAATGTAGTAGAGGCGATGTGTGCGTTTGTGCAGAGGAGTTTATTATCGTGCCGCGGTACTCCTCAGTAGTGATGAGTGCAGGAATTTCCCAAACGGCTTCTGTGGCCCCCGGGTCACAGCAAAATGCTGAAAAGCCCCAGGAAACCAAGCGCTTTTTATTCTCTTCCTCCAGTCAGCGGTGATAAATCAGGGCAGGCTTTACTTTAAATATCTCTCCTCCTCCTTCCAGTGTCACAAGGTACATTTCTTTGAAGGTAGGGTTCTCTGTGTCTTTGATCCACTTACCCTCAGGAGTTTTTCCTCCAGATGCAGAGGTCGCTGGCGTTTCCCCTCTGGGAAACCAGAGGGACAAGATCAGGTTGTATTTCCACCTTCTGGAAAGTACAGTTGTGTGTGTGCGTGTGTGTGTGTGTGTGTGTGTGTACGTGTGAGTTCTCTCGTGGGAGAGACGTTTTAAAAACAACTCGCGTGGCCTGTAAACAGAGCCTGGGTTGATTTTCTGACTTGTTTTGAGGAGCTGGAAGGGTAGCAGGTTTTGAGGGGCTGTCAGATCTCCCTGCTGTCCAGTGAACGGGTGGGCTCCCCAGGCCTCAAGGCACCCTCGCCTTCACAGGGTTTTTTTAAAATAAAGCAAATGCTTGGGCAGTAAGTTCTCAGACAAGAGATAGGAGCTAAAGGAGATGCAGACTGACTTCCGAAGCATTCCGGGGAGGTGTGAACAGATTCTTTGACCTTGGAGAGTAGGGGACCACAGAGATTTAACGTGATTGTGTGAAGGCAGAAGACATTCCAGGAACAGGCTATTGTTAGAAGACCCAGGAGGACGTGTCAGAATGTGCTTCTGTCCTCTCTGGATGTGGTGTGTGTAAAACCGTCAAGATAGCGGAAGTCTGCTGCTCTCATGCGTTATCACCGAATTGGCCTCATGACTGTTGATACATGATTTTGATTGAGGGGTTGAAGAAGGTCAGGGGGAAAAGAGGAGAAATTTGAGAGGAGTTGATTTCTAAGTCAAGTTGGTGCAGAATTTCCCTAGCAGGGACTCTGTAAAGATTCCAGTCGTGTGGTGTGTCATTTCGGTGCGTATGAAAAGAAAGACCTTTGTTTTAATTAGCAACACACTGTGTGTGTGTATGTGTGTGTGTGTGTGTGTGTTAATTAACCTCAGAAGGGTGAGAAAACACATTTTTAAGATTTTCTTTGGGATTCTGAGGAGTACATATAGCTCTTTCCATACCTGTATGAATGAGGTACTTTATACATACCTGAGATAGCATTATAGAAATATAATTTCTAATCACACCTACCACCCCCATGAAAGCATCTTTAAGCTAAGCAGTAATCACGTGGAAAATTTTCTTGTACCTCTAAAAAGGATTTTGCTGTATAAACTCCTTTGCTGTTTCTGAACGTGTTAGTTCAAAGTCACTTTCATGGTCTTGTCCCTTGTTGTCCTTGCGATGTGCGTAACCATACCTACAATTATTTGACTCACATCCTGATTGCCTCCTAATTGTCGTGGAAAATAGGTATTATGTCAATGCTGTTAATTTATCAATAAGTATACACTCAACTTTGGTTTTGAGCTGGATGGGCAATAATAGTGGTATTTATGACAAGGCCTCTTCCCCTCAAGAAACCTACAGAAAAGGGAAATATAACCCCCAACAGTGTGCAGTGGAAAACCCAGTGTGAATAGGGTAAGTTGGTGTGTAAGTGCCTTAGGTGTTTAACATAGGGGCCGTAGTGATGGTTATTTAAATCACCAATCAGCGTCTCTCTATTCTCCCATTGGTGGTATACGTCACTATCCTTTCTTACTTTATCCCTCATCAATGTAATAAAGTGACAAACCTGCCTGATAGCTAATCGATTAAGGCCAATGTGGCAATCAAAAGAGTATACACTTGTTTGTGTAGTGTTTCCAGTTCAGGGGACCTATTTTAAAAACTGGTTCTGAAAATTTACATTCATATGATAATGAAAGGCTTCGCACACAGTCTTTTGGAATATTAAGGTCATAGCTGAAAACATTTCATGACCGCTAGAAATGAAAATAAGCAAATATGGTCATTTAAAAAAAAACATCTTGGCATTTCATTGAAATCACTTGCGGTTTACATAAAAATTTGTCTAGTCATACACGAATGTATTTGCATTTTTGTATCCTTGGGTGTATGTAATATATATCCTTTCTCACATCATTGCTATTATCTGAGGCTAAATTTTAAAATTCAGAAAAGGAATGTTAGGCCCCCGAGCTTCTCTCTGCTACTACTGTCTTTAGTAGAGTGATAAAGAAGTGGTTTCTTTGGAAGCATTCTTTGTGTACTTTTTCAGAATTATTTTCTGAAGGATTTGGGTCCGCGTGGTTGTTAGCAGGCCTCAGATGGCTGAATGCACCAGTGCAACCAATGATTCACTTGAATGGAAGAAATACTTTTATAGTGAAATAGAAAAGATTTGTCACAGATAATACAATTAATTTATGCAGAGTCGTCTCAAATTTAGCTTGTAAAGGGTAAGTCTGGATAAAGAATTAGAAATATTTCCTTTTTTTTCTTCTGTTAGATTACTTGGATAATTCCAGCACAGATATAGATAATATATTACCATTCCTCTTGGGCACTTTTAAATGAAACAAGAAGAATTGTTTTGTGTGTGTTGGAAAAATTGTAATGATAGTAATTTTTACGGATACAAAATGTCCACACTAAGCTTTCTATGTACAGTTTTGATCAGTGAGAAGAAAATTTGATTCCTTTCAGGGGTATTTTCAAGTGGACTTTGGTTAAAGCTACTTTGAAACGTTTAACAGCGCCGCTCTGGATGGCGATTCTTTCCGTAGATCTGAAATTCGCTGTGATGGCTGTAACGAAGGTGGCCGTCGTTAGTGTGTCACTGGGAATCACTGCTAATAACCACTTCCCTTGGTTTGCTCAGCACCATGTTGTGGATTCGCTTTGCCTCCTTAATTCTGTGCTTGCCGATGGCCAGGACAGGAAGTAGGAGCAATACATAAGAGGTCAGTGCTTTAATGTTCCCCTGTGAATTTTTTCATTTGTCATTGTTTTTCAAAACATCACAATGGCTGACTTTGGGATCCTGGTTGGATTATGTCAGGCCTTAACTCTCTGTGCGCCTTAACTTGTCATTCACTTTTCCCAGGAGTTCACTGCCTTTCTGTACCACAGTCTGTGTGATTTGTTTAGCTCTAGACTCTGTGGATTTGTCTCTTTCATTAATTTTAGAAATGCAGCCACCATTATCTCTTTGATTATTGCCGTATCCCTCTGTTCTCTCCAGTGTTTCTGGTGGTCTGATTAGAGATGCTAAAAGTTTTTATTCTACCCTACATATGCCTTCAACTCTCATCCATTTCTTCCCCTGTGTTACGATGTCTCAGCTACAATTTATAGAAAAATCTACCATGCAGTTACTGTATGTAATATGTCTCAGTAAGCTGAGTCTCCTTGGCAGTATTTAAGTCACTGTTAGCCCCTTTGTTGAACTTGCTTCTTAGTGTAGCTAAAAACAGATGGCGGGAGGGCTACCTTTGTAACCCATTTCTGGGTGCACGGTACAGAATCGTCAACTATAGGCATACATTGTACGGCAGCTGTCTGGTCCCTTTTCATCTCACGTGACTGCAGCTTTATACCCACTGAACAAGCCCCATTTTCCTCTCTCCCCAGCCCGTGGTAACCACGGTTCTACTTTCTGCTTCTGCTGGATTGGTGGCTTTCGATACCTCATTTAAGAGGAATCGTGCAGTATGAATCATTCTATGACTGGCTAATTTTACTTAGCATAATGTCCTCGATATATAGCCATGTGTATAATGGAACTTCCTTCCTTTTTATGGTGGAGAAATAGTCTATTGAATGTATAGGACACATTTTTTTCACCCACTAATGTGCTGATGGACATTTGGGCTGTTTCCATATCTTGACTATTATGAATGATGCTGCAGTATCATTATGAACTGGATATCTATTATGAACATGGAGTGCAGATGTCTCTTCTGGATCCTGCTTTCTATTTTTTTTTCAATAAATACCTAGCAGCGGGGATTGCTAGATCTATTTTTAATTTTTTGAGGAACTCCATAGTGGCTGCAGCATTGGTTCCAATTTCTCCACATCCTCACCAACATCTTTTACCATCTGTGTTGTTTCATTCTGGTTTTTGATGATGGCCATCCTGGCAGGTGTGAGGTGATGTCTCCCTGTGATTCTCATTTGCATTTGTCTCATAGTGGTGTCCAGCATCTTTTCATGTATCTGTAGGCCATTGTTATGTTTTCTTTGGAGAAACATCTATTCAAGTCCATCGTCCACTTTTTTTTAATCGTTTTTTTTAATTGAATGGTAGGAGTTCCTTATATATTTTTTTAGATTAACCCCCTTTCAGAAAAATGCTTTGCAAATATTTCTTCCACTGTACAGATTGCCTTTTCACTCTATTGATTATTCACCTCGCTGTGCAGAAGCTTTTCATTTAAGGTAGGGCCACCTGTCTGTTTTTGCCTT